CACATTTCATCATGTGATCAATATTGAACACATGTTATGATTTGGTGAATTATAATTTTTCTTAATTATCATATTCTCGTTGATAATACTTGATTTTTTCTCTTTACTTTTTTTGTGTGTTTAGAGTCTCTCTATTTTCTTTCTTTATTAAATTTGATAATCAGTTTAAACCATTAGATTTCTTTTAATTTTGTTAGTGTGGACTATTAGAAATTTTCTTTCTTCATAATTAATTTGAACAATAAAAAAAAATTTTTCTTTACTATTTGGTTAGTTATTTTACAATTATTTTGTTCGTTTTCTATTTTTATTTTTATATATGTTTAATTAAGTTAAGTATTAACACATATCATCATCCGATCAATAGTAAACACATGACACGATCTGGTGAGTTACAATTTTGCTTACGTGTCGCGTTTTCATCATGCGCATCCTCTTTTATATAATAAGATTAGTTTAAACTACCTTTTTTTAATATAGCTAACGTGCAGTATTAAAAATTTTTTTTTTCTTATCATTAGTTTGAACAATAAGAAAGTTTACTATTTTACTATTTGGTTAGAGACTTGAGAATTATTTTGTTTGTTCTCATATATTTTTAACCAATATTAAGTGTTAACACATGTTATCATCTAATTAGTATTAGACATATGTCACGATCTGGTGGATAAAAATTTTGCTTACGTGTCACGTTCTCATTGCGTTTGTTACTTGCGTTTTGTTATTTTTCTATTTTTCGTTTAGTGTAATTGAAATTTATTGTTTAAATGTTAAGAAATTTTTTGATTTTCCTTTAATGACTTTTTTTTCTTTTTTTTTTCAATTAATGACTTTTTTGAACAAACATAATACTTGTTCCTTTTTTAGTCACTTGCGGTTTATAATTTTTCTGATGTAACCTTTTTTGACCCATTTTTCGTTTTCTTTTTTCTTTGTTTTCCCTCTTTTTTTATTATAAACAATGGAAATTAAACTAATCTAGGTTATTACCTTTTCTCTTGTTTTAGTTTGAGTTTTTGGAACTTTTATATAATATATAATTTTTTTTTGTAAGTAACATTATAGGAATATTTTTTAAAAGGTTTTGGTTTTAAAATAAACAATCGAAATTAAACTAATCTAGGTTGTTGTCTTTTTCTCTTGTTTTAGTTTGAGTTTTTGGAAGTTTTATGTAATAAATTTTTTTTTTTGTTAGTAACGTTATAGGAATAATTTTTTTAAGGTTTTGGTTTTAAGATATTTTTCTTTTTTCTAACTAACGTTATAGGAATATTTTTTTAAAAGTTTTGGTTTTAAGATATTTTCCTTTTTTATTTTTTTTGGCTTTTCAATAAAATTAGGATATTAAAATATATTGACACATGTCATCATCTGATGAATGATAGCCACATGTCGTGATCTGGTGCTTAAGAATTTTGTCTACGTGTCAAACTCTCATCGCCGATCCCTGACCGCTGAACATGTTATATCATTAGACTTGTATAACTATAATAACACTGAATTTTTTTTATCTTATATGTTTTCATCAAAACTATTAATTTGACTAAGAAAGTTAATAAAAAAAAGAAAAGAGTACATTTTTTCATGAAAGAAAAGAGTACATTAAAAGTATAAAAAGTAGAGTTTATTTGGTGAATAATAAAAATAGAAATTTTAATTAAGGATATAACTATGAAGTATAGAAATAAAGAGACTAACTAAATGACCTAATCAGTTCCCAATTTTGCCCTTATCCATCTTTAGTCTCAGACCACGTCCCCCGCCAACCACCGCCAACATGCCGGAGCCATGACCGAAATTTTCTTCTGCTCCGTCGTAACCAAGACCAGTCTCTACAAAACCTCGTTCACCGTCGTCACCACAACCTCGAATACAAAAGATGCGATTATGGATAACCACATCGACGAAGGAGGCATCCGGATTTAGCATAATCCAAAACGAACCCAGCCAATTTGGTGATGATAGTTCATAGATTGGAGAAATAGAAATGGATCTAGACAAATGTAGGATTCAAAAGGTTTGGTCTTTGATTTCATTGTTGTTTTTTGATGTTGTTATGAGAGATAAATGTTTGATCTGGGGTAGATTTCAGAGACAATGGAGTTTGTTTGTAGGTATATTTTATGACGCGGCCGTCGTCGTCGGTACATCTCCGGCAAAAACAATAAGGTCACACATCTCTCTCCTCTCATGGCATCAAGGGTAAAATTGTCAACATTACATATTACATCATCTATATTCTAATCAATCTACTCACATGGCTATGCACTTTATTATAATTTTTTTGATGGCGAGTTCTGTCAGTTACCAATTACCCTTAAAAAGTAAGTGTTATCAAATTTAGTGTTTCTCGTTAGAAACAAAAAAGTTACATAAAATTTTTCTCATGCTCAGTTTTCCGGTTAACAACTTTTATGATCATTATAGTATATCATACAACCTAAACAAAAGCATGAATACCAAAAGCATAAACTTTTCTCATGCTAATAGTACTTGTAGCCTTGGGCATTGTAGGTTATTGGTTCGG